TGACTTTATTTTAGTGTTTTAACCCTCGCATTGTAGGGGTAGTTAGATGGACCCGCGTCCCGCCCCCTCGGTTTTTCGCGAATAATCTCGCTCAAAAAGCGGACGATCGCGACGAAACTTTCAGTACCCCAGAGTTGATCAATTTTACACATGCTCTTTTTCTTTCATGTACTTGACCCAAATGACCTTTAACCCCTGGCCTTTTTCTCGAGACCATGTTTGACCGAAATCGCGATTCAGCGTATGTCAGATCACATTATCCGCGCGTTTCCAGTCTTTTTTGTGTGTTGTAAACGTCCAAACATGTCAAATGATGTTCGACCCATGCGGCATGCATTACGGTGGGTGCCAAGGTCACGTAAAGGTCAGGTCAGGGTCATTGATCTTTGAGGACCTTGATTCACTTTTTCGAGTTTTACATGTTCCTGGCATCCGTTTGAACATTTACTTAGTAGTTACGAGTGAGCGAGCGCAGCGAGCGAAGCGAGTCTTTTCAATATAACGGAAAAAATCTCAGTATGAGCGGCCCGGCCCGGCCCGGCCCGGCCTGTAACGCTTTTGAGAGGCTTATATCTCAGCAACCGCTAGACCGATTGGCCTGCGGTCTTTTTTGCTGGGTAGCCCCACCCCTTCTTCCCCGTAATTGACTACTTTTGATACATCTCAGTGACCGTCGTGGCACGTGCCACGTGAAAAGTCAAGGGTGTTCAAGCTGTTTTGCAAAAGTAGTGATTTTGAGAGGCTCGTATCTCAGCAGCCGCTTGAGCGATTGTCTTGCGGTAATTTTTGTAGGGTAGCTGCATCCCTTCTACCAAAGGTCGGATACCCTTGATCTATGTGAGTGACCCCCACTGCACGTGCAAAATACAAAAAGAAGAGGTGCCAAATTTGTTCCCATTTCAATAACTCGGTAATTACTGGGGCGATTTCGCTGAAGCTTGGCTATACAGGTAGGCAGCCACCAGGCTATGCATTCCCATGTGTTGCGGTTAAGGTGCTACTGCACGACGTGCAGTGCACGTGCGCACGTGCAGGGGGCGCTTCCAGATCTCGAGAACGGCTGGGCCGATTATTTCAACATTTTTTCTTCAAAAAGCGGCGCACAACTCGGGAACCAATCGAGCTGCTACCCGACTGAAGAACCAATAGACGCAGCAAAACGGACGAGAAGGCAAACGAAAGAACGCGACGAGACACTTACGATGAGCACCTGAAAGTTGAATTTCAAGGTCACAGGTCGGGTCAAGGTCAGATCAAACACATGAAATTGGGCTTTCAGTAGCATGGGCCCAAAACACCTCTGGTGACGTGACCTTTGACCTGACCGAAAAAGTGACCTAAGTATAAATTTCGCCATTATTCCTTACGCTTTTTCGAGCGTCGCTTCCCCGTATCGCTACATGGCCCAGGAGCCGAGCTAAAAGGGGGGTGTTCAAACACCCCCGCCCACCAGCAGGGCGTGTAATTCCAGGACCCCCAGCGGAGTGCGGGTTATGAAATGCATTCATCATGGTCGTGAAGTAGTCTACAAGAAATTGCCAAGATTCCATTCAAGATTTTGGAAACCGTAGAACGATAGGTAATCAAAAATCGAAGATGGCAATTTGATTGTACATGGTAGGCTGGCAGTCCAATGACGTTTACGGCATGTCTGTATGTCTATTCTGTGACTTTTTACCCATGATTTTTTTTAAAACATGTGTCGTTTTTGTCGAAAACTCAAATCATGACGTCACTAAAACCTCGATATCTTAAAAACTTGGACCGATTTTTTTTGGAAACTGTCACAATAAATTTCTATAAATTCCTTACATGTACCTACCTACACAAAATTTGGCACAAAAAAATATCGTCCCTATGCTTAAATTCTGCACCAGCAACATTCCAAGTGTTCGTGCTTACAAACGAGCCAATTGTCTATATGGAGTCATTGACTCTCAGCTGCTCCCGGGTCATGCGCATCGCCTCGCCGACTGAGCGTATGCCAGGCTGAGGCAACAAGCCAGCCCGTCACCGCAAGAACGGCGCTGCCTCCCTCCCCCCTCCTCCCGACCCCGTCCCCCGACCGGCGCGGCATTCCTCAGGCCAAAATAGTGACTCCCCTCCCTCAGCTGACCCGTCCTCAGGTGCGGTGTACACTGGACAAATACCTCTGCCGGGGCTGACGGGGTCCATGTTTGAACAAGGGATTAAGGGAAGCCTTCAAACATCTCAGACGAAGTTTTCGCCGAAACTACCAGCTAGCGCCATCCACCGGTAAACGGCGGTACTAAACTTCATTCGCTAGTTCCCGAAACGACACACCATGACCGGCTCTTCAACCTCCCGGCTGCTAGCCACATGGGGGGAGTGTGGGGGAGAATTGTGCGATCGGTGAAGAACACTCTGAAGAAGGTGGTGGGTCCACAGGCGCTCACAGACGAAGGGCTTGTGACGGTGCCCACTGAAGTTGAGCACATGGTCGACAATCAACCCCTGATCCACGTCAGCTCGGAGCCGCCAGACCCAGAAGTTCTTACGCAAAATCATTTTCTGCTCGGTGGCGCGTCGAGGCATCTCACGCCAGGACTCGGGAAAGACAGAGACATACTGCAGCCGACGCCGATGGAAGCATGTCCAAGCCGTGGCGGAACATGTGTGGAAGAGGTGGACAAGAGAGTACGTACCGACTATCATCCCGAGGAGCAAGTGGCGCAAAGAGCAGAGAGTCCTGCAAGTCGTGGACTTAGTGCTGGAGGCAGAACCAAACATGTCTCGGGGCTCATGTCCATTGGCCCACATCTGCCGCGTGTTGCCGGCAGCGGGTGGCAGAGTCCGGTCGGCCGAGCTTCAAACGGCTATCGCGAAACTGTACACGCGACCAGCCACCAAGATCTGCTTCTGAGAAGAGGAATGCAAGTGAAGGTGTGCAGACGGGGAGAAGGAGGATATCGAGAAGATGAAGGAAGACGAAGAAGGAAGAAGACGATGAAGTAGAGGACCACAAGTGAATTGAAGCTGAGAACGAGACGAATCGAGAGGAGAAAAGTCAACGCATGGCGAGCGAGCGCCGTGTTGGTCGGCCTGGTCTGGCTTGGCTTATTCGCTCGGCAAATGTCTGATGTCCATGTGTGCCCCTTACTAGTGAGTAGTCATAGGAATAGCGTATGAGAAGTTTGTCGGTCATTTGGGTGTGTTCGGAACGTACGACCGAACACAGGGGGGAGTGATGTTGCCGACAAACTAGGCAAATGTCGCGCCGCCGATGCCGAGCCGAGCCGCCGCCGCGCCGCGCCTCACCCCGCCCCGCCGGTCCCGCCGCCGGGCCGGGCCGCCGCCCGCCCAGCGGCCACCTGTCGCCGCGCATAGCTTTTTCTGAGACAGAAGCAATGGGCCATATCGACGCTGCGAACGGTGGACTGGCGTCCCCCTGTGACCCTGCGACCCGGCTGACCTGTGACCTGTTCCGAATGGGGCCGACGGGGCCCTGGGCCTGGGAACTGGAAGGGTGTGTGAGGGGACGCGGCGTGCCGGCCGCCCTTTTTGTGCTCTGTGTCACGACCCCTGTATCGAGTGACATTTTGGCCGTGTATTTGAACCGATACCGGGCTCTGCTCGGTCTCACTTCACTGTTAGTCGCCGACGAGTTCACTTCGCTCTCAAACGGGGACGGCGGCGCTTTGCTGCCGCTCACGTCTAACTTTTCTAACTACTGTGTCCGTGCTGTACTGCTGCCATCTCGCCGTCTTCGGTCAATAGCGAACTCTTCTATTTAGAAGACTGTGTTTAAGTGGTGGTGGTGTGAGTGAAACCGAAGTGGCGAGTGGAGGAAAGGAGAGCGGCGCGCAGCTCACAGTTCTCACGGTGGCCGGGTCTACTCACTATTCCTATCAATCCTCTGTCATCCTACATTATATGCATGCCGCGAGGTGTGCTCCTTATGCGCTCTGAGACGGGCGCTGTTGAACGACCCAACATGCATGCCGCGAGGTGTGCACCTTATGCGCTCTGAGACGTGCGCTGTTGAACGACCCAACATGCATGCCGCGGGGTGTGCTCCTTATGCGCTCTGAGACGGGCGCTGTTGAACGACCCAACATGCATGCCGCGAGGTGTGCTCCTTGTGCGCTCTGAGACGGGCGCTGTTGAACCTTGATCCGTAAATTATTCATCCGTGTTTATTCATTTACCGATTAGATACTTCCCTTCTTCATTATTCGTTCACTGCCTCTATTAATCCTACATCCTCTCAAATTTCCCCCGGCCGCCAAACCCGAATGCTGCGAGACGTAACAAACACACATACAGTCCACACAAGAAAGCCAGAGACGTCCGCAACAGTCGCCTTAAATGCGTGACACATGCCATACTCGCCTGACCTATGTGTGGCGGCGTACGTCATTACCGAGTTCGCTTTAAAGTCTTCAGTTGAACTAGTTCACAGATCGCGAGGTTTGTACTTACGACATACACCTAAAAGGGTGTTGGCTTATCGCAACCCGGGGAAGGGACTGGACCGAATTCTGCTGTGGTTCTAATATGTACCTATTTTCCTTTCGATGGTTTGTGGGTTTGACTCGACCTCATGCAGCTAGTCGCTCGACAGTCCTATTTACGCGACGGTGAAACCCTTTTATCACGTGCGGTGCAGGTGCCTGCTTCCGACGGGTTTTGCCGGTTTTGGTATGGTTTACAATTGTTTTCGACGAGTTTTGATATTCTTCGATGGTAGTACAGGACTTCTGTTAGATTTATTGATGTTATTTATTTGAATGTCCCATTTCTGATTCTACTAAAGAGCAATCTTTACGTTCGTCGTAGTCCCAACCTTAACCCACAAAATCATCCCAAACTCGTTGTTTTGTGACCATGGTCCCAAATGGCTTGGACCTGTCAGTACCTACACGCACATCCTTTATTTGGTTCATGGGAAATGCCTGTCTGTGTTCAGTATTCATGACGTATTCCAGATGTGTACATTTCCGCTAGGTATATAGATCGAATGGATGTGTGGGGTAGGTGTTAAACAAATCATTTGGATTTCGCACATTTTATTTTACCAAAGGATCGTATATTCTTCGTATGTGTACAACTATACAGATAAACGTGCCTTTTTAACTAAACGACAAATAATTGTCAACCGCTGAAACAAAATCATGTGACTCCTAAGTCCTAATCCACATAAGACGATGATGATGACCGAACACGAACTCATGCGAAGCGTTGATATGCACATGAAACGATAACTTCGAGTTCTCTTCCATCGCACACGAGTATGATGTCGATTCGAGGTAATTTTGCAATAGGTAGACATAGGTACATGTTTCCGTAGACGCACTTGTCTAACCGAATTGCTTCGCCCTTGTTTTGTGTAATTTCACCAAAACACGGTTCTGGTCTGATGATGGTCGTTCAGTAGAAATGTGAATGGCTGTAAGAGAGATGAAACATGCAGACATAGGTATGCTTGCTCAAAAACACACATGGAACTGAATGGCTGATCATTGTCGAGACGTGTCAATGCAAATAAATACTGACCACTTGCAAGATAGTTACGTGCACATCGACAACATGGACCTAAGCATTTTCCTTCGAAAGACGTTTTGCAAAGGCCCTTACGAAACGAGCCGGGTGCAGGCACATCAAAAACTACATACGTGAACCCCCCGGTTACCAGAGACATAAGGCGTCCAGTTTCAAGGCGCCGCAGACGGCAGTCCTTGTGCGAGAGATCACAGTCAGGGACAGCGCGCCGCCAGGCCACCCTGAGCAGGACTATCCCCGCCGTCAGCAGGCACGGCGGTCAAGGCACCCGTTCCACGGCACTGTGTGCAGACGCGCGAGCCACCGCTCTCCATCCGTCAGGAAGGGGCTGGACGACCTTCTTGGCGGAAACTTGTCCGTATCCTCTGATACTTCACCGTTTTTCTCACCGTCCATCGCTTTTCCATCGTTTTCTCTCTCCTAGCTTTGAGAGTCCGCGAGCATTTTTGTTCATTCCCCAATGAGTAAAAGTTCGTCCAGTCTCCCAACCCGACATGACTCCCAGTCTTTCCGAGAAACAACGCTGTGAGTTCAGGGAAGTTTGGCAGCGTCGTGACGTGACGACATCGGACTACTTCTTCATCAGTCCACTGATCACGTCGATGGGCACGGGGAAGATGATGGTGGTGTTCTTCTCTGCCGAGATGGAGTTGAGCGTCTGCAGGTAGCGCAGCTGGAGGGCGTTCGGGCTCTCGGCCATGACGTCGGCGGCCTCCTTGAGGGCGCGGGAGGCCTTCATCTCGCCCTCGGCGGCGATCACCTTGGCCTTGGCCTCGCGGCTGGCCTCGGCCTCGGCGGCCATGGCGCGCTGCAGCTCCATTGGCAGCCGCACGTCCTTGACCTCGACACGCTCGACCTTGACGCCCCAGGCGTCGGTAGCCTCGTCCAGGGAGCTCTGCATCAGGTGGGCGATGGTCTCGCGTTGGGCCAGGATGTCGGACAAGTTGTACTGGCCAAGCACCGTCCGAAGAGTGGTGGCCGCCAGCAGATGTGTGGACGATGAACTGTTCTCCACATTCGTCACAGACACCGTCGGCTCGAAGATTCTATAGTAGACGACGGCATCGACAGATATGGTCACCAGGTCCTTGGTCAGAATCTCCTGGGGAGCAACATCGAACGAGACAACTCTGAGGTCCACACAGCGGAAGTTGTCGAGGCAGGGCAGGATGAAGAACAGTCCGGGTCCCTGCGCGCCGCCGGGCGCCAGCCGTCCCAGCCGGAAGATGATGGCCCGCTCGTACTCCTGCACCACCTTGATGGTGAAGCAGAGTGACAGTGGGAAGAAGCAGATGACCAGCAGCCAGGAGAGGAAGATGAGGAGGGCCTGGCAGCCGCCGCTGGTGTTCTCGTCGCTGTCGTCCTCTCGGCCCATGACGCGGGGCGGCGGCCGGGCGCCCGGCGAGCTCGGCTGGCGCGGCACCAGCTGAACAGTCGGCTCCGGCTCCGGCTCCTGGCCTCCCTTGCTGAACTCGTACTCGGCCGTGGCGCCCATCGTCGGTGCTCGCGGCGCCCCACTCGTGTGCACGTGAGAACCGCTCCGCCGCCTCGGGCTCACTGCCGCACCGGCTGCGTCCGCAGGTCACAACCGGTGCGAGCGACTTTAGCGAGTGTCATTTGAGCGAACGTCATTTGAGCGAACCATTTTCAGCGAATGGCAATTCAGCGATTATCAATTTCATCGATTATCAAATATAGCGATTATCAATTTTAGCGAAAGCTATGTTTCAGCGACATTTATTTCGTCGACTACAATTTGAGCGACTGTCAGTTCAGCGAAACATTTCATCGTCCTGTAACGGTGGATTTTTTTTTCTTTTGCGAGCGTACCTATCCGTACGAATGTTTCCGGAATTTCTCATGGTTTTCCAGAACTGGATGGCGGATGTCGCGCGTTCAAAGGTCAGACATTGAGCTCCAAATTTAATGCTACTTTGTCAAAAATTCCAACGGTTCAATTCCCCCCCCCCCCCCCCACCGCACCCTGCTCTTTGTTAATAATGGTGACCAAACGTTTGTTCAGAGATCAATATTGCTTTTGCTTTTTTCGCGAAATTGCCCCGCTTGAATTTGGATCAGTTCCCCATGTTGTAAAATTTGTTCTTGCCCCAAGCACCGTACGAATGTCCAGGTATTTGGGTGAGGTCCCTGAAACATAGACTGGATTCCCCTGTGCCATCTCTCTAGTTTATTATTGGTCCTTGGCATTCCTTCCGTCGCCCTATCTCTCACGTTCCGCATTTTCAATTCAAATTTTGCCCGCCTCCTTTCCCTCCCATGCACCCCTTGTTGGTCGTCCGATGTACATATGTATGTGTCTTCAAAATTCAAATGATGCGTAAAGAGGTGCAATAATTTCCGAAAAGTAGCAAATGATTGACTTTCGTCGCGTTCGGTCTTTCGCTGTAACTGCATCGCTCAATTGGTCTCCCACTGACCACCATATATTCGCTCAATCTGGTTTCGCTGATTCTGGTCCTCGCTTAAGTTGATAATCGCTGTGACTGAATTCGCCGACTTGACAATCGCTGAAAAAGCCAATCGCTTAAATTGATAATCGCTGAAAATGTTTCGCTCAAATGTCGCTCGCTGAAATGACATTCGCTCAGGTGTCGCAGAACCGGTCACAACACACACCGGACGTTATTCGCCGGCGGAATCGATCGGCGTGCAGCGGCGCGTGCCGTGTGGGTCGATATTGCGGCTGTGCGGTCACTGTCGGGAGCGTCCGCCGCCCTCCCCGCTCGGAGCCGTCGGCCGCAGTGCCTGCCGACGGCGCGGGGCTCGGCCGGCGCCGGCCGGCCGGCCCGGCTGCTGCACGGTGGGTGCTTCCATGCGCCGCCGCCACGTGACGCCACCGACGGACCGGCGCCGGCGACAGGGCGCTGTCAAAATAAATCCGAAATTTCGACAGGCATTGGGTGAGACGCTTATACTACGCATTCGAGTGATTTTTTACTGTCTGCAGACAGTGATCGTGAGCCAGGAATGATACCTATAAATGATGCGTAACAACCCTGTTTACCTATATGCTGTTACCTATATCCTCTTGACTACTCGGCTTGAATTTTGACGAGTTCAAACGCAAGCCTAATATATATGGCAGGTATTCGTGCTCAGAAGACGGATTTTAGTAGCATAGCTAGTAGCTACCTACCTATTTGTTTTGCGAAAACTTTCTGTTTTTAACATCGTGAAAGTCCCACCGTTTCTAAAATGCTGCATTATTGCTGCTGATAGCCCGGGTCATTTGTGGCCCGCCGCCGCTGTAACTCGTTTCCCGTGACCGCAGCGCAAGAGGCATCTGGCGGATTTCAAATCGTCATCAAAAATGCATCGAAACTCGAAAGTACGCGAACTAATGGCCAGGCGTCTGCACAATAGCTGACCAAAAGCCTCCAGTTTCCCGTTTGAACCCGTGAAATGGAAGTGGTGCGGCGTTGGCAGTCGTGCAGACTCGATCGGCACATCAAGGGGTGTTAACGGGCACCGCACACTGCTGAGTGCGGTGTGTGCGGTACGTCCAGCAGGCGTGGGGGTAGGGGATGGGTAGGCGGTTCTGACGTCACGGCTGCGTGCGGTGAACGGTCCGCTGTGTCCAGTCCCGACCGGCCACAGCGATCGCAGTGTGCGGTGACGGAAGGCTGACGTAGGGACGCAGTGGGCGGAGCTCCGTGGCCTGTGTGCGGTGCGACCCGCACACAGGCCCCGTGAACTGGTGATGTGCGCTCGCTCGCTCTGCCGGCCGGCGTCCCCCGCCGCGGGAGGCGGGGCTCGCCGCTGTTATACCCGGCGCGGCGGCGCGCGCTCAGAGCCGGCGTGTGACCTTCACCGGCGCCGCCCTGTGACGGTGGCGCCGCGCCCGGTGGCGTGCCGAACTACGCCGGTAAACAGCGCGTCCGCCGGTCCGCCGGGCACGCCGCGCCGCGCCGCGCCGCAGTTCGGTGACCGTGGCTGGCCGAGGCCGTGTGTAGCGTGCAGTGACGGAGAGACGGAGACTGCCGGAGCGGCTCACTGCCACACCGGTGTCTGAGGACTGAGCCACCGCGGCCATCTGTGCCGAGTGCAGCGCCACGTGGCGCGAGACAGCCGCGGAGAGGGTTACCGGAGCGACTGAGTGAGCGACCGGAGCGGCGTCCGCGCGCCAGCCATGGCCGAGGGCGGCAGTCAGGAGCTGCCGCTGCGCAAGTCAATCTCTGAGCACGGCTCGGAGCCGACGGTGGACCTGGTCACCGGCCGGCCGACCAACCCGGACCGACCCAAGCCGCGCGTGCTCGGCAGGGACGACGAGAACCCGCCGCCGGACGGCTGCTGCACCGCCTTCCTCACGTTCATCTCTTGGCTGCTGGTCATCTGCTTCTTCCCACTGTCGCTCTGCTTCACCATCAAGGTGGTGCAGGAGTACGAGCGGGCCATCATCTTCCGGCTGGGCCGGCTGGCGCCCGGCGGCGCGCAGGGACCCGGACTGTTCTTCATCCTGCCCTGCCTCGACACCTTCCGCTGTGTGGACCTCAGAGTTGTCTCGTTCGATGTCGCTCCCCAGGAGATTCTGACCAAGGACCTGGTGACCATATCTGTCGATGCCGTCGTCTACTATAGAATCTTCGAGCCGACGGTGTCTGTCACAAACGTCGAAAACAGCGGCTCTTCGACGCGACTGTTGGCCGCTACAACGCTTCGTACTGTGCTGGGCCAGTACAACCTGTCCGACATTCTCTCCCAGCGCGAGACCATCGCCCACCTGATGCAGAGCACCCTGGACGAGGCTACCGACGCCTGGGGCGTCAAGGTCGAGCGTGTCGAGGTCAAGGACGTGCGGCTGCCAATGGAGCTGCAGCGCGCCATGGCCGCCGAGGCCGAGGCCAGCCGAGAGGCCAAGGCCAAGGTGATCGCCGCCGAGGGCGAGATGAAGGCCTCCCGCGCCCTCAAGGAGGCCGCCGACGTCATGGCCGAGAGCCCGAACGCCCTCCAGCTGCGCTACCTGCAGACGCTCAACTCCATTTCGGCAGAGAAGAACACCACCATCATCTTCCCCGTGCCCATCGACATCATCGGAGGACTGATGAAGAAGTAGTCGGAGCTTCCTGAACATGCCGGAAGTGTCCGCGGATTACAGACCCAGCAGCGGACTGCTGCTTCACGAGGACACTTCAGAGGCCGATCTGACGCCGAAAGTCAGTTGGATCATGTCCTGGGACAGCCGGCTGATGACCTGTTACAGCCGACTCATGACGTGGTAGAGCCGGCTCATGACCTGAAACAGCAGGATCGTGACCTGGGTCAGAGGGATCATGACCTGGAACAGAAAGTTTTCTGTTTGGACTTATCAGAGCCGATCGTTTCGTAATAACGGCTGAAAACGAAAAGAAGATAACTGATGTGCCCACTGTCGTGGCGCTTGAAGTGAGCATAGACGGACGCACGGACGCATGGACAAGGATCCGCTGATGCCGGAGGTGAAAACGCAGGTAGCGGACGAGAGAGTTGGACCGTTACCGAGTTCGGCCTTCTCGGCTCCGCTGACTGCGGGCGATTTTGTGCAGTGGTGTCAGCAGTGCTGACTCGTGTGCACTGCACCGATACGATCTGAGTGGAGTTTTCTCCATCTGATGACAGGGTCGTGTGCGCGTCCACTGCGATCTGAGTTCGGGTCGCCAGCTTCTTTTCCCGATTGGCCAGCAAATAGCTCTTCTGATTGTGCGGAAGCTTGTTACGCGTAGGTATAGAGACTGGAGCTCACTGTGGCTCTCATTTGGTGTTTGATTTCTGAGCGCTTTTAAGGTGCACTAGCTGTAGATCACTGGTTACAAGTGGCCTTGTCAGGTGCCTATGAAATGTGAATGAAAATATTGGTTTTGGACTTATGGTTCTTTGATATAAATTCGAGCAGGCTTCAATGAGCTGCAGCTATATTTGAGCTCAATCACTTCAGCTTTGCGTTGGTATTATGGAAAGCTGCACCATCCACCATATTTTAGTTTGTTCGTTATCCTGCTAGGACATATTCAGGTCCACCATATACTTTTATGAAGGATATGCCGTGTTGGACGTGCTTTCGTTGCATGCATGCCTGTGGTCAACCGCTAGTTAACCAATATCGCTGCCTTCTGCGTGTACAATGCCTAATATCATTGAGCCGAGATATATTCGTCACATCGCACAATCATTTTTTTTTTTTGTGTTACCGTCACCTGACCTCTCCGTCGCACCTGCTTGTTTAACTGTTTTGTATGCTTCGCTTACGGCACTACTATTTTCTGTAAGAAAATACACGTGAAGTGACGGCCATTGTTTCCAGCCACAGTTAATAGCCTCAGTGCTGGCCGGCCGGCGCGCCCGGCTCCCCTGCCGGGACGGGGCGCAGAACAGCCGCCCCCTTCTGGCGGCGCCGCGTCCGTCTCAGTCTGTACGTGTGTACTGTGGTAGGTAGGTAGCAGTTTATGGCAGCCGGTCGTGCTTATCCCCGCACGTTTCGGCGACTGTGCCGAGTGAGTCTCTGAGCAGCCAACAACGGCCGACGGGGACACGGCGGGCACTGAGGGAGCGCTGTGTCAATTCCCCACAATGCGCGCCAAGGCCGTCCGCCACAAACGCCCAGCAGCGGCTCCGCGCGCCACGTCAACGCTCACTGGTGACGAGTTTAGCTCGGGACTGGAGGTTACATATTTAGCTGACCGACAGGTCCCCCTCCCCTCCCCACAGCGGGACTGGATGTGTCGTCAGTATCTGGCCGCCCGACCCCCTCCCCTCCCCTCTCCCGGCGCGGGCGGCGTGTGCAATGTGCACGCCGCTCCGGTACCGCTCCGTGTTCGGTGCTGATGCACTCTGTGCTGCCCGGTCTGTCCAGTGGCACAGTAGCCGGTACGTGCGCTGCACACGTGCACGATACGTTCGTCTCGGTCTCTGACGAGCGTAGCGCGGCCTGGATAGTCCATATGGGGCCGTGATTCCATTGGAGGCCGAGTGTGCTCACCGCTCACTAACAGACCGGATGGGAGCACGTCTGCAGCTGTGGCGGCGTGAGGCAGCAAAAACACGCGGCGACTGCGCCCGATCCGGGCCCGTCCCCAGCCCGTCCGGGCCCGTCCCCAGCCCGTCCGGAGCCCGTCCCCAGCCAGCCGGCGCCGAGGCGCCGGCAGTCGCCTGGTGGGGTAGTCCAAACTGCGACTGGGGTGGGGTAGTCCAAACGGCGGACTCATGGCGTGCCCCGCTGGGCGGGGGAGGGGCTGGGCCCCTCTCCGTGGGGGTGAGGACGGGGGCAGATCGGAACACCTGCACCGCAGCCGTGCCCGCCGGGAAGGGATTAGGTACTGTCCCGGCCGCCAGACGGCAGGAAACCAGTTCGAGTGTGGTTACATAATGCATCGACTCGACTGACGCAGTCTCGGCTGAGCCCATGTATTTGCTTTGGTTATGATGGTGTACTCTTGTAGAGTGGATTGTGGCGTGGATTAGCTGTTTGGTAAACGCTTTTATAATCGGTCGTGTAGGTAATGCCTCTATCTGATTTAGGGAAGACCAGGGACGCTCAGTCGAATGTATTTCCTTCCGGGTTCTCTTTTCTGTCTGAGGGAGGCTTGCATTTCTATCCTAAATATTTGCTTACTACACTGGCTTATGAGAAGCTGATACATATATGCATACTTCTCTTGGTGAACTGCGGCGTTGGGCTTTATTCATAAATCTGCCGCTAGATGGCGTTAGAGGTGAGCGCCTGAATGTAGGCTGTACCGCACGGCCGGCTGCCCGTCTCTCCCACGGTATGGCTGGTCGGACGGTGTTATGTAATCGTAATGAACCGCGCCGACGCGATGTCTCGCTAAGTCAACCATAGTGGTCAGTGGTCACTTTGATTGGAAAACCGTGCCTCTGGCAGTTCAGCTGTTCGGCCGGGTACAGGAGTAGCTCTGTCATGTCCGGGTACAGGAGTGTCTGTCTGTTCCGCCGGTCCGCGGGTACAGAAGCGTCTCTGTTCGGCCGGTCCGGATACAGGATGTGAATCTGATTTGGCCCGAGCCGTTCGGGTGGTCTGGTGCCAGCGATGGTGGCCTCTCCGTAATCTGGGGATATTTCGCGCTGGGGTCTGCCTGCTGCCAACCATAACTGTTACCTACAGGCAGTGGGTATCGGGTGCCAGTGTAAATAAAAACAGAAATGTCTGACGCCATTTTAGAAACACTCGACAAATTGAAGTCGACGGCAGTCTATAGCAAATTAAGCAAAACATATTTGTTAATCTTGGCCCCAGCTGACAGTCTTTGAAAAGATACGAGCATTGGAACCAGTTTACCTTCAACGTTTATTCAAATCGCACTTTGGATGATCCCGAGTCACAGTTGGAGGCAGCTGGATCATTTGCATAGATTCAGTCCTGATAAGTGGCGTTTGTGAAGCTCGGAGTCATGTTATCACGGTCAAGCCGTTCAGTTTCTCTTCCAATGTCCATTGCTGGAATGTTATCCAGAATGCTACTAGTCGAGCGCAGCTCCAGGCACGTGGTGAGTCGCTCAGATCAGTCTCGTAATGTGTCGTCACGCTCCTGCGGGGAGCGTTTGATCCACTGGCGGGTAGCGGACTTTCTGCGGGATTGGGCCGTGTTCACTGAGCGATTCTACCGCCGCTAATTGGATCACCGCCTGGCTGTATACATATCAGCACCAGCCCGCATAGTGTGATAAATGCGGGCGGCTGGCCTGGTGACCCAGTGCACTATGGTTGGAAACGGCCTCACGGATGGCCGGGGGTCAACGCGAAAAAATGTTTTGCCCATAACTTGTTAATGCGTAGACCGACTGCGATGAAACTTTGCATAGGTATACCAGTGTCTTTCGTGCATCATACAGTAACTCAGAAATGACGAGGTCACGTCACGTCACGCGTGTGTGACGTCATCATTGCAAGTATGTCATAAGTCGCCTATGTCTTTCGTTATGTTATCGATATCGTGAGGCATTTTGAACATGTTTTGAATACTGCTATTACTGAATGGATATTGTTGTTATGCTTTAGGGCGAGAAATATCAACGTAGTGACGCACAGTGTCTTACTATTGGTCATAAAGGGTCACAAATTTGGAGAAAGAGTATTTATGATTTTTTTTTTAGATTAGGCAAAAAAGTAAGAAATAAAATGACGATCAAATGACAAAACATGCGTCAGATTAACCCGGCAGTTGCTGGGGTATTTCCCCATCCGCCGTTTGCCGGGGGGGGGGGGCGTTCAACGCCCCCAGCCGATAACTCGCGAACAAATAGGCGCAGCGAAACGCACGAGGCGCGGCAAACGAAAGAAGAACGCGACGAGACGATTCACATGAATACTTTAAAGCTGAATTTCGAGGTCACAGGTCGGGTCAAGGTCAGGTCAAACACTTGAAATCGGGCTTTCAGTAGCATGGACTTTAGAACCTCGCAATCGGTGCCTCGCGTTTCGCGTTTCGATTATATCGTCATCAGTTGGTCCTAAATAAATTCAGTCATCAGTTGGTCCTAAACAATCTGTCACAACTGTCACAACTGTCACAACCCTTCATATAAGTGCTAAAAGAGTGTCAGATCAATGTAGGGGTCAGTCAAGCATAGGCCACTGGCCAGGGTCAAAGTCAGGTCAATCAGGTAAGCACATAACCCCGAAAATTAAAACTGGTACCTATCCGCAGCCCATGCATGACACATGTTTTATGGGTACTTTTGGGCGTAGAACACGATGGTGACATTCATTTTATCATACGAGTACGTGGCTGGTTGAAAAAAGATCAATTTCAGAAATGCATGCGTCATGGTCGTGAAGTAGTCACGAGAAATTGCCAACATTCAGTTCAAGATTTTGGAAACTGTAGAACGATGATCAAAAACCATAGATAGCCATTTGATTTGCCATGGTATTGGCAGTGTAATGGAGTTTACAGCATGTCTGTATGTCTGTTCTGTCAGTGGATATCCATATCCATACTCCAGGATATCCATACACGTTTGCACGATATTCATACTCCAGGTGCAGGGGCGAGCAGTTACTTCTTACGAGGGGTGCGGAGTCGAAGTCAGAGTCGGAGTCGGAGTCGGAGTCGGAGTCAGAGTCGCCCAGAGTCGTGGCAACGAGCCAGGAGTCGGAGTCGGAGTCGGGGTCGGTCAGGAGCCCGCAGTGGAAGTCGGAGTCGGTCCGAATCGGAACAGCTCCATCGCGACTCCGAAACACTGGCAGGGGTCCGGAGTCGGAGACAGAGTCGGCCGGAGTCATGGCAACGAGTCAGGAGTCGGAGTCGTAGTCGGAGTCGGATTTGGCGCCACCACGACTCCGCAACCCTGCTTCTTACCATCATTTATAAGGATAAGCGATTGCAAGACTGACGAGCCGACCTGGTGCTAACGAAGCGACGGGTAGGTACGCCTCGGGAGATGACGCTTCACGGACGATTTTGCGCACAAGTGCGCAGTCTGCTTTTACGTTCCCCTTACGCAGAATTGAACAGCGATTTATTCTGCCAAAAAGCTCAATGGAGGTCGATGGAGAACTTTTTGTATGTCCAATGAAACATAAACGCAATTTTGCAAATATTGCTGTGGTGACACTGCAAACAGAATGCAATGCCGTTCCTGATTTTGAACACGCATGGGAAAAAGAGTCACTCCACTCGATAGCCAACATAACAAGGATTATTTTGATATATAATAATCCAGTTTTACAACGTCATGGAGGTACTCCACATGCTATCACCAGCGCGGTTGTTTAAACCTTTGACGGCGCACCAAAAAAGTCACTGTCAGAAACTCCCGATTCCACGTACAATAATGGAGACTAAATGCGCAACTAAATAATTTTTTTCTGCCCAATTCAAAACATTTCATCAATTTCCAACAGAATGACACCCCAAATATACAAATATTCCGAAATTGCCCACGGCCATCCGTGAGGCCGTTTCCAACCATAGTGCAGTGGTCCCCTCCCATTGCTGACATTCGTTCGTTGGGTATGCGAACTGCGACCTGATTGTCTATGTAATGTCTAGCGACCGCTGACGGGCGGGCGGTGACGAGCGAGTGGTTCGGGGCGGCTGTTGCGCCATCTGCACCGGCCAGCGGTCCTACAGACTGATCTCAGCGCCACGGGGGTGCATGGTGGTCAGATCTGCCGAGGGCCCAGCCACCTGGCGGCCGCTTTTGGCGCCGACCCTGCCACCTGGCGGCCGCTCTCAGCTCCCACCCTGCCACCTGGCGGCGGGGTCGAGCTGCGGGTGGTGCGGTGCGCCTGCAGTGCGCCCCCGGGGCGGTCCGGCGAGCAGTGCGCC